TTGTCAAAATATCGGAATTTTCACCGGGAAGCTGTTTTATATTCAAAACTTTTACTCTAACTCCAAAATTGGGTAAAACATATCTGACGAGAATTGTACATAATTTGGTGTTGCCATGATTCGAACAATCAGAATAAATGGTGATATAATTTGTTTCGCTTAGGTCACTTTTGATCGCTTCAAATGAATATGGGACGAAGACATTGCAAATAATTGATTACGTTTTTGTCCTTGCGCAAGAATATTTTTCTTCGAAACACTTCTTAATTAGTTTGGAGGAGCAGTCACTAGATCTAAATGAATAATTGTGTTGAACTGAATGATAACACCACGATGCTTCTTTTAGGGCTAACGCGTTTTGGGTGTCATTATCTCTTTTATTAACAAAAAATTCATTTAAAGATTTGCTCGTCGAAGCCTGCCTATCCGCATCTTTGTGTTTTGAAGTTTGAAGATGCTGATTAATTGCTGATCTGCCGCTATTTGCAATGTTGAAAGTGGCTAAACATTTACTGCATCTGACATCGCTATCCGATTTTCCTTTTTTTATGAAAGGAAATTCTTCCTGCAATGCTTGGTTGAAAGTGCACTTTCTTTTAGGCGCCATGAATGGTAAAAGTCAAGATTTCTATAAAATTTAGTTAGATAATACCGAAATATCAAAACTGAAAATACAAAGCAAACTTACCTAGGAGCTAGGACCAGGGTAAGTCATAAATTGATTACCGTTGAGTAAACTAAAAGCTGTAAAATACAATATTTGGGTAACATTGAACGAAGGACGTGCCGCGCGCACAAACCGTAGAAGGAGAATGAACACAAAGAACTTTTCCTCCATCTTGAATTATTTCTGTTTCGCATGCCTCCCACGTAACAGTGATCTGCCCTCAAGCTCTATACAATTCGCTTTGGAGGAAAAGAATTTCAGAGACTTGAATGGCAATCCGGTGGGCAGTGAAGTTTTGTTATTTGCATCAAATCCTTACAGTCTCTCTACTCTGGTCTTCGAGATATTTTGTTTGTTATTTCAACATCCAAATATAGTATTCTCCGGTTTCCGAACCTCCTGATGTTTTAAGGTATTGAGTTGGTGCAATGCAATAAAAATGACCTAGTTCTAATAATCTGATAAATTAATAATTTCATTTTAAAAATAAAACGTTATCCTAAACGATTCATATCATTTCTATATAGTTTGTACAATCATTAGTTCTATTTTTAGTCCAAAGGGGCTTTGTCCCTGAAGGACTATTGTTTTCGTTTCGCGATTTTGCGTTGGTTCAGAAAATGTTCGTTCAAACTGTTGTCCCCAAATGTTAGAGTCCTGCATTATATTTGAAGAAATTAAATAATAAAAATCTACATAAATGTATGTATATTTCTCGCATTGTGATAAAACAACGGAACATAGAGCCATCGAATTTTGAATGACGTAATCCTCTTACGAATATGGGCATATGGAAGCCCAAATTTGAAATTTGGAATTTGTTTTATTATCGATTTCGTATTTTGTAAAACTTCAAAGAATTTTTGATTAACAAACTCAAGGATTTCAAAGCGAGCAATGGCACCGTTGTACAGAGAAAACATTTTTATCTCCAGCACGTGAGTCTCTGTATCGGAAACTCTAAAGATGTGCTCAATTTAAAACGATTTTTCGGTATTGCTCTTGAACTGAATTTTATGGTTTAAGTGCGAAGAACGTGATATTTAATAAATAAAGGTAACAGACAAAATGTTAAAAAACGCCCCTTTGGACGTAATTTAAATTCTGAAACCTTTCAGATTTTTATTTATTTATATATTTATTTATTTGGAAACAGAAGAAGAGAAAAATGTGCAATGTCCTTGCCGGATCTCGAACCTGAACCTCTCGAATACGCGCCAAGTGTGCTGCCGTTACACCACGAAAGCATGCTTGGAAGGACAGAAACAATACCTTATATACTTAAAGGGCGGACTGGGAAGGAGGGAATCCATTCGCTAAATCCTGGTTTTACCGCGCTTTTAAGCAAGATGCTGGTAAATGTTTTGTTACGAAATTTTCTGCGCAAAATAATTAAAACATCGCTCTTTTTAGTCCAAAGGGATTTCAGTCCCGAAGGACTATTGCTTTCGTTTTGGCATTTTGCGTCGGACTCATAAACGTCGGTTCACTTTTCAAACTGTTGCCACAAAATGTTAGAGTCCTGCATTATATTTGAAGAAATTAAATAATGAAAAATCTGCATAAATGATTGTCTATTTCTCGCATTGTGATAAAACAATGGTACATTGAGCCATCGAATTTTGAATGACGAAATCCTACTGCGAATATGGGCATTTGAAATCCCAAATTTGGAATTTGTTTTATTATAGATTTTATATTTTGTAAAACTTTAACGAATTTTTGATTTACAAACTCAATGCTTTAAAAGCGAGAAATGGCAATGTTATATAGAAAAAAAATACTTTTATCTCAAGCTCGCGAGACTGTGTATATCGGAAATTCTAAAGATATGCTTAATTTAACATTATTTTGCGATATTGCTCTTGAACTGAATTTTATGGTTTAAGTGCAAAGAATATGATATTTAATAAATAAAGGTAACACTCAAAACGTTAAAAAAACGCCCCTTTGGTCGTAATTTAAAATCTGAAAAAATTTCAGATTTTTTTTTTTTTTTTTAATTTTATTTTGCCCCGTTTTTTTTTTTTTTTTTTTTTAAATTCTCCGTTTAAAGTTAGATCAAATATAAGCATAATTATATATGTAGAAGTCTTGAAATATTTTATTGCAGTCTATATTAAGCTATTAATTTTATTTAAGCTCAAGATATTCGTGTGTTCATGCATTTCATCCTCAGTACAAAATGATACAATAAATAATGTATTTTCTGTGGCACCAGATGGCGCCACTATATTAACTTTATTCGCTACGACCTATTTTATCGTCCATTCAAAATTTTAATATTTTATGAAGTCACATTTATTTTACAAGTGAAAACTCAAAAGAAAAAAAAAAAATATGATTTAATGAATAATATTGGACGTTTCTTAAAAGGAAAATCGAGGAAGATCATCTAAACTATTGAAATGCTCTTCTTTTGGAATTTTTTTTTCCCTGTCATTAGTTATTATTATTATTATTATTATTTTAATTATTTACTGACATTGCAGCTCATAAAAATAAAATGGATTTAAGGACGGAGACTCGTCTTTTAAAGCCTACACTTTCATTACAAACAATTCAATGGTATAAAAATCTTATAATTCTTCAGTAGTCCTTTCCCATAATTATACGGCCCACCAGCGGCCGAGCGGTAAAGTCGCTAAACACTGGTAGTTCGATCCGAGGTTCGAATCCCGCAAACGGGCTGTCTGCATGGGTGTTTTCGTGGTTTTTCCCATGTGTAACGTGTATACGAGCCAGTTTTCCTTAGAAAGTCCTCCACGAAGGCTATCCCTCCCCTTAGGCGGAGAGCCCTAGTGTGCTTTGCCATAATTAAATACACCAACACCCATAATTATACATTTGCTCCGGAGTATAGATTCTAATCTCAGCAGTCTAATTTTCGAACTAAAGGAATCGAGAGTTGATAATAGTACATTGATGTCTCAGACTGAGCGGCTAGGAAGCATTAAAAAAAAGCTCATATTAAATCACAATTTTTAGAAGAAATCTATCATATGAAACCTTTGTGAAGCTTAATTTCTAAAATTAGTTATACCAAAGCCTATAGAAAGCCCTATAGAACATTATTAATATAAAAAAAAGTTATTTTAATAAACTAATAATAATAAACAAAACAATAAGTAACAAAAATATAAAAAATTAAAAAATTACAACATTTATGAATTAAATCAATTAATAATAAAAAAGGAAAAAATAAAAGAAACATTTAGACGTGTTAATAAAACTGAAGTGCGTAAATTAATAATAAATAAAATAAAGTATCATAAAAAATTAAAGAAATAAAACAAATGAAAGGTGAGTAACTTAATAATGACTTAGGATAAAAAGAAAGTAAGTATTTTGACAACATTCTTTACGATCGATAAAATAATATTTTTATTTCTTAACTAGATGAATGCAGTCCATAAAACTCCTCACATCTTTCAGGGAAGGTAAGCAATGCATTCACGTAATTAATATCAATATCAGTTTTAGTGACTGCTAAAAAATGTTGAGACTGAGACTCATAGCACAATACAGGAGCTCGCCTTATTTAAGATTCAGCTGTTCTCAGTTGAAAATATGATTTCACTGAAAAATTCCGAAGATTACGATAAATCCGAATTAGATTACGATGAGCTCCGAATGAATTTAAGCCTTGAATCTTGGTAATAAAATTCTCACTGTATACCGTAAAAATTTTTTTAAATGTTTTGAAATTAGTTTTATTTATTGGTAGAGGTCAAATTAAAAAAAATATACCGATATATATGCATTCATGAAATATGTAATTTATAATTAATTCAGTGTCAAAGCACATTTTATTATACACAGTTCTATAAAGGAATGTTATGATTTTTTTTTATTTATTTTTATGGTAATATTCTTTATATTGTATTATTTTTACATAATTGTAATTTTGTTCTATTTTTTTTAATATTATAATTATTAATTAAGGTGCATATAGCAAATTATAAAAAGCAGTGAAATATTTAAAATTTTTGAGTAATTATTTAAGTAAATACAATAATTGTTTACGTTCCTTACGTAAAAAATACAAAACTGACCCGGACGTGATTTGAACACGCAACCTTCTGATCTGGAGTCAGACGCGCTACCGTTGCGCCACCAGGCCCGTATACAAAGCACTATTTAGTGTATATAAACAATTTTATATGACCCTTTTTTTTTTAATACATTTTATTTTGGAAGGAAATTATATAGGGTGGAAATTATTCATTTTATTCAAATTTAATTTTTTGATATTAATTCTGGACGAAAAGGGCATTTTTCTTTAAATTTCTTGAATTATTTTATTGGTAGGTTTAATTTTAGTTGAGAGCTCCTAGCAACGGTATGTACTCGTCTCAGACAATGGTTCATCTGCTGTTCCAGTTTTGATTCTTCCTTACTGAATTATTTGAATACTATCGTGACATAGCTGGAGTGATTTATAAAAATGAATTAGAAATAGCATATTGTTTCGTCTTTTGATAATGTTATTAATTTTGAAAAACAATATCAAAAGTGGCAACGATAAATAGTAAATATGTATGGTATTTAAGTATACTTCCAGGTTTTCAGTCCGAAACTAAAAAGCAATGTAAGTTGTTCGAGGGAAAAAAAAAAAAAAAAATATGATAAATGCGATGGTTGTTCGTTAGAGCAGACTGCTATCGACGACACCGGTAGGTCAAGTTTAACGAGATATTTATGGATGACGGAGTGAGAAGATTGTTATTCAATAACGTTTTTACATTTTCTTAGCGATGTCTAGTTGGTAAGTTTATTTGCTTTCATCAAGTGCTTTCTTTCGAAAATTCTGTACAGTTTACAATAGTTTCCATTCTGAAAAGTACCTTGTTAGAATATGTTCATTACTGAGCTTCTTTTAGTGTACTTGATATTATATTAAGTTAATAATATAATAATTAATAACTATGATAGAATTATTGATAAATGTATGTGTGATAATTTTCAAGTAGCTTTTATGCGTATACATGAACGCATACGTTATTTAACATCCTCTGTTTCTTGCCTACTTTATGTGTAAACAAACAGCTTTTATGTTTCAGTTATAATTGTTTTCGTTTACTTCCGTGTACTGAACCAGCTGAATTTAGAAGATTGCATTGCCTAGCAATCTATGTCATTATGTTAATTTCATTCTGCTATTGGTAGATGCTTTCAAAAGAAATGTTTTTAGAGCACTTTTTGTAGAGAAGTACGGTAAAAATGGTAACTTTTTGAATTCCAAGTGATTAGATTTCAGTCATCGTATTCAAAGTACATATAGCATGTTTTTATTTTTGAAGATTCTAAGTTTTATCTTTACTTTTGTTTAAATTTTTCTGAATACTTTATTTTCCTTGGATCATTGTAACCATGTATTCAGTTAGAATTACTGTTTGATGTGCTAGAGATAAATACCTCAGAATTTTATTCTAATAATATTCCTTATTGGGTAAAATTAATTTCCATTTTGAAAAACATTTTACTTCTGTGTATTAAAATACATTAGCATAATATTTATGATATATAGTATAATAATAATAGCATATTATATTATAATATTTAAGTTAAAGACTCTTTAATATAAAAAAATATTGTGCAAATTTAAGTCAAGATATATTAAGGGTTAAAACACATTTAAAAGTATTGAATTGTGTACATTTATTGAAAGGGAATAAAATAACTCCTTTGGCAGTTTATACCATATGCTGGAGGTAGTAATATTTTGTAAAAGAGTAATTTTGAAATTAACTTGTAACTATTGAAGAATGCTTACTTGGTGACTTACTTTTAATACTGAATTAGCGTATGATAAATGATAGACCAGCTTTCTCTTGCATCATAGCTTTTAATCTATATAGCCATCAAATGGGATTTCTCTCTGAGGGGGAAATTCATAGTTTCCATGGAGGTAGGAAGTAAGATGGAGTAGCCCTAAACAAATTTCTCCCGTACCCTGCTCTGAAGCAACAGCGATCCCTATGTGGTGACCAAAACGTTGGGTCATTTACCATTGAGTTCAATGGGATTTGACGTTTTTGGATGTAAATATTTTCTAATTACGTCGTAAATATACATATAAATGTATATATTTTCTTTTTCTACAACATTTCATTCTGAACAGAATTAAATGTTATACTTTTCACAGGACAGTTTTCTCAGAATGGTTTAATTTGAATGAAATAGTTTCCCAAGTTTTCGTTAATTACATTAGAAAACAAAATTAAGGTAATTCGATTTTATTCGTTAATCGGTTAGGTACAAAAATTAAGATCAAGTTTATTGTAATATTAAAATTATGCATTATTTTTCTTATATTTATAGAGCTTCTTCCTAAAATACTTTCTTAAATATGACATGATTTTTTGGCTTCTGAGGCATCTTTTAAATCAAAAAATGTAAGTCAATTTTAAATTAGAGAATTATTAGGAATTAGCAAAATACTTTAAATAGTACTTGACTGTCTCTGAACATTTCTGAAAGGGAATAAAATAAGTTTTTTTTTTTTTTTTTTTAAAGCATTATTTAAAACTTGTAACTGAGTATTATAAAATGCAAGGGGAATAATTCTCTTAATTATACGTATCAGATTTTTTTTTACCCTTCATTTCAACAATACATATTCCAAAACTCTTTATTACGTTCTTAAGTGCGCATCTCATAGCATTTGCTTTACAATACCTTTTAACAGATTGCTTTCCAATACGTCAACAGGATTTCAATTTATGTTTACAATTCATTATTAAGGTTATTATATATTTAGATAACATTTATAATCATTATAAATTAGATACATTTAATAATTAGATTTCTTCACAGTTGTTTATAAGTGAATAAATTCTTCATTTCAAATACATGACCTGGCATATTCAAAATCGAACAATTCAAAAATCGATGGTTATTTAAAAAAACGTTAATTTTCACAGGACTATTTCGATGGTTTTACCTTTTGAACCATCATCTTCAGCTGCAAAACCGCAAATGAACAAGATAGGAAATAATGATTAGATAAGAAAGCCTGGACAAGAATAAGCAAGTGGCGCCATCTGTTGGCGAAACCAGAACTAAAACATAATTTCTCTAAAGGCCGAAGGCAAATTTGGATTGGAATTAGGATCGTTAACTAGAACAGAAAGATTTTTATGAATGTGAAATGCCTCTAGAAAATCCAGTTCTCCAATGGAAGATGTTTTTTGAATAATTTTGGCAGCAGAAAAATTGAAAGTGTGATTTTCGGACCAACAATCAATTCAATTTTTCTGCTGCCAAAATTATTCAAAAAACATCTTCCATTGGAGAACTGGATTTTCTAGAGGCATTTCACATTCATAAAAATCTTTCTGTTCTAGTTAACGATCCTAATTCCAATCCAAATTTTGCCTTCGGCCTTTTAGAGAAATTATGTTTTAGTTCTGTTTCGCCAACAGATGGCGCCACTTGCTTGTTCTTGTCCAGGCTTTCTTATCTAATCATTATTTCCTATCTTGTTCATTTGCGGTTTTGCAGCTGAAGATGATGGTTCGGTAAAACCATCGAAACTAGTCCTGTGAAAATTTTGTAGGTATAACGCTGATTTTTGTTGTTCGACTTCTGAATTAGTATTTATTCGGCGTGTTATTGTGTCTTGACCTGCATATGTTAAGAAGCCAGCATAAAACTTGAATTTCCGAGAAAAAAAGACTTGCGTGGGAAACATTTAACAATCTGGAATCAATAAGAGGACCATTCATGATCGGACCTCCTTTGGGATATTACTGTTTTCACCCGATTACCCTATACCCTATTTTCAAATTCTTAATAAGCTGTCTTGATGATGTAGCTCGTTCACATGGTCACATCATCTTGACCGCAAATGGTACTTCTGCCAAATTCGCAAATGTATCCCTCTTCTGTTCCACACATTTGTGTAAAACTGTACATAATTTTACACAAATGTGTGGTTCCAAATCAAGGGAAAGCTAACTTATTGGCATATCTGTGTGTATATTTATTAATTTTGACGAGGATTGCAGTATTTAATGGTAATTTTATTTTTAATTAACCCAAATAAGTAAAACGTGTAACCCCAAAGTGATTATTTTTCAGATATATAAAATTAAAACAATGAATTTAAAATGAGCAGCAGTAAAGCATCTCCTCTAAAAAATTTTAAAAGGTACATGTTACAGTAATATATGGATGTGAAAAAAATTTGTTTTATTTAAAACATTTTGGCATTTGGAAAATAAAATAAAAGTAGCGAATACTCTATCAAGGCATCGAAAGACGTACACAATTTTATTTAATGTACTGTAAGGTATTTTTCATTCTTTAAAGCATAAAATTTTCTTAAAATCTATATTTTGTAGTTCAACAGCTTAGAATTTTATAAAAACAAATTCATAATCAAAATCGCTGTTGTTAGTTATCGAAAAAATAACCAGATGTGATTTTTTGCATAATGTCACTAAACTATTCAAATTGCTATTATCCATCACACTATGAATGTTTCTTTCATGTGAAAGTGTCCCTTTTTCGATTTGTATGGAACTTTCGTGTGTCGAAATACTATCAGAACCCTGTCAAGCGAGCTTCTGAATGTAAACAAAGAACAGCCCATCTGGTGACCCAAGCTTCAAAGCAGTGCTTCACTTCTAGTGCCGGTTGGCCCCTCCTTCCTTTCCTACCTCCATGATAGTTTCAGGGGAGGGGATGTGATCAGCCTTTATTTTGCTGTAAGTATTTAGTTTGCTTACAAGTATAAAAAAACTACTTTTATTTGAGTTTTTGGAGTAATCAGCATTTTCTACACTTTTTATTGTTTAATTCATAAAACATGTTTAAAAAATCATCTAAATGTAGATAAATACATGTATTTATTTTTCGAGTTTAGAAAAGGAGGGAGGGATGATTTTTCTAGCAGTGGTAAAAGGGAGTGCATGGGGCAACAAAGAACAATAAATAAAGAAAGAAAGAAAACAGAAAAGAGAACAAAGAACAAAAATTTTCAACAACTAACAAATTAGATTTATGATATTTATGTATGAAATTAATTATATATAAATTCTCTTTCATAAATTAATCTTAAGTTGGGTACTCTTCTGTTATCATGAGTGGATTCAGAAATGTATGTATTTATGCATGTGTGTATAACAGTGGTTCTTAACCGTGGGTGGCCGCACCTCTGGGGGTGCAGGAATGTATTTTTGGCGGTGCGGGAAAAGCCCCTACCTAACCATAAAAGTTATTAAATATCATTTATTAAATTTCTTATAATAAAATATTTGAAATCTGCAATAGTGTCCCTAATATTGAAGCTCATAAAAATTGGAAGCACCTAGCTCACTTATTGGCAAAAGACACAGGAGAGAGCCGGTGCCATTGGGCGTATGCACTACGCTACAAAAAGGCATGAAACACTACAAACGAACGCGAACAGGCAGCTAGGTGATGGAGAAAAGAAAAAACTTTGTGGGAATACAAGCAGAGAACGTTATCACAGTTTGCGCATGCGTTGAGTTCAATATGTGCTACTCCAATGGAATCTACGGATTCACAGATTTGTATCTGCATCTACTGCGCCTGTGTTAGGTTGAGTCGAGTCAACTATTGTGTCTGCTACATGTGTATTGTGTATTCTGACTTGTCCAGAAACCTCTTGAGACTAATACGTTCTTAATTGCCCGTTCAAGCCGAATAGGATTTAGTGATATTACAAACGTAAGAACATTATATATATTATATTACATTATTTTAAATAATTAAATCGATTATAGTGAACCCAACTAG